CTATAGTAGTAGGTCATCAATTTAAAATACAGTGTATTTCCATTTTGAATTTTTTGGTTAGAACTTGGAGTGTGATTCACAAAGATATGAAGTTCTATGATTTGGCTAAGTTCATACAAAGTTATTTTAGATAAAACATAGGTAAAAACACGTCTATTGCCACCAATAGCAGAAAGAACACTACTATAAAAACACTAATTATAGAATAAGGAAAATATGAAAGCCCACAAGATATTTAAAGATATTAATGTTTCATATTGGTCCTATAAGATTAGTCAATTTGATTATATAAAAAATAAGGGCTAAGTGGACATTTGGATATTATGAAGAGAGTTTCTGGGTTCTTTCAAAGGATATAGCACTGGATTCTTAACATAGGTGATATTGAAGACTGGCAGTTCTAGCTATATTATATGTGTGAACAGAATGGCATGAAAGCCAGCACTAGTGTGTCTGTGTGTATATGTGTGTGTGAAAGAGAGAGAGAAAGAGAGAGAGAATAAGATGATAATACTATTTTATTTTGTTGTGGCTGACCTATATTTGAAGTATTATAATCAATATTAGAAACCATATTTTCAGAGAGACACAGACAAGCTAAAGTATGGTCAAAGTTGATAAATCAAGAGGCTGAGATGATTGGATTAACTACAAAATGTATAGCTTGGGTAAGATAGCTAAACATCAGGGGCCATACTGTATAAGATGATTCCGTAAGTCTCTAAGAATAGCATTAGGATAAATATAAGCGAAAGAAAGTAAAATGGAGTAAGTGAAAGGACAATGTGGTTTTGTTATTCTAAGAGGGGAGAGAACAAGAGGGAATCTGTGTTGAATTACACTGATTCGCTTGATAGCCACTGCATGGACCATTAGCCTAGGGCATTGTGGGTCTCTCTGGAGTGGACTGAGTGGCCTCCGGCTTCTGAAACTATGCATTCAGAGTATGAATACAAAATGTCATGATGCCCATAAGCTGCTCACTTGTCATTCTTTTCTCCACAACCAAAATTGCACCAAAACATGTAAAAAAGTTATGTAGCCACAAGTCATATTCTTGAATGGCTGTAGGGAAAGACAAAAAAAAATGGTCACTTGTATTAGTGTCACAATGTTTGTTGGTGGGAACTGATAGCTAACTTTTTTTTTTTTTTACCTCTCTTTACTAAAGACTTAGGAAATCAATCAGAATCATCTTTCAACATGGGTTTTAGAAGTTTGCTCTCAGTGTCTAAAAAAGTTATGGACAATTTAAAATCCATTAGTGTATGGGGGAAGATTTTTTCATGTATTCAACTTGCTTTAATTAATTTTAACCACATTTTTATTAGCATCAATTAGTTGTACAAGGAGGTTTCCTTCTGACATGCCCACCTATCCATTCAGTATACCTTTTTTTTTGGGTCCGGTCATGGGGCCTGAACTCTGGGCTTGGGCACTGTCCCTCAGATTTTCAGCTCAAGGCTAGCACTTTACCACTTGAGCCACAGCGCCACTTCCGGCTTTTTTTTTCTTTTTGCTAATGTGGTGCTGAGGAATCAAACCCAGGGCCTCATGCATGCAAGGCAAGCGCTCTACCACTGAGCCACCTTCCCAGCCCTCCATATACCTTGATCAGACTCATTTCCCTTGGACACTCTTGCTCATCCCAATCCCTTCCAAAACCAATCTCAACCAGCTTCACCCTTCTAGTTTCACACATGTACATAAAGTATTTTGGCACAGTAGCTGAAGCATCTTAGAAATCTATTGTTATAAAAGCATGACCTTCTGTGATTGTGATTATATGAATATAATTGTTAATTTTTCTTGAGAATTTACTCTCTTATCTCTTTTTATCTTTCTGTATACAATTTTTTTTTTTTTCTTCCTCTGAATTCCTTGAAATATCTCAGGCTGAATAGTAGTAGTTTTTTTGTCGGTCGTGGGGGCTGAACTCTGGGCCTGGGCGCTGTCCCTCAGCTCTTCTGCACAAGGCTAGCACTCTACCACTTGAGCCACAGCACCACTTCTGGCTTTTTTCTGCTTATGTGGTGCTGAGGGATTAAACCCAGGGCCTCAGGCATGCAAGGCAAGCACTCTACCACTGAGCCACCTTCCCAGCCTGAAAGTACTATAAAATTTGTAAGCAGAAAAAGATAGGCATATGTTAAAACCTATTTTGTTTTTTAGTAGGCTAATTATTTGTGGAATGAGCAGATAAGAGATGGAGTTAGGGAAAGTGAAAGCATGACTGGGTTGAAAGATAAAGTTCACAAAAGGAGAATCACAGGAGGAAAGTAACAATGGGTTGATGCATGGATAGTGCCAACATAAAAGGCAATAGTCTTATTTTCTCTTCTCTTCCTCCCCCTCCTCCTTCTCTTCTTCCTCCTCTTCCTTCTTCTTTTCTTCTTCCTCTTCTTCTTCCTTTCCTCCTTCTTCCTTTTCCTCTTCATTTTTCCGGTAATGCGGTTTGAACTCAGGGATTCCCATTTGCTGACAGCTGACACAATACCAGTTGAGCCATGCTGCCAGCTCAGCTTTTTGCTGGTTAATTGGAGATAGAGTCTTGCAGACTTTTATTGGCCTGGGCTTAAACCACCATGACCCTCTGGGTCTTAACTTCCTGAGTAGCTAGATTGAAGTTTTAAGCCACTGGTCCCTGGCTATGTCCTTGTTTTAGAAACAAATCTTGTTTATTATTCAGTTTCCAGAAATCAAAGATATAAAGTAAAGGGTGTTGGTTTCAATAAAATGGGATGATGTGTGAGACTTAGGGTGAAAATGGCATGGCCAACAGCTCATTGCAGTTACATTGCACTTCTTTTCTGTGTAACTTTCCTTTCAAGTTCTTTAATAGATGATTCATTTTTTTAATACAGTAAGAGAGAAACATGGCCTTCATTATTAAAGTACATGTTGAATTTATTTCCTTGAAGTTAATTCATTTTAAGTGTGGCTTGCTCTCCTACACCACAGTAAAAGTTTATTTGTCCAACAGCATAAAACCATGCTCTAGGCAAAGGATGTGACCTGGAAGGATTTCTTATTTTCTGAAAGTTCTTAGCATCCAGGCTGATTCAGCAGCCTTTAGGCCTGGAAAAGAGGAGAAATTAATCTACTGACCTCATTAAGTCAAGTAAATACCCCGTCCTGGTGGATCTCGGGTGTTTTGGATTTGCATGTACGCTCATGAAATTCCAAGTTGGGACTAAGTTCTATAGCACAGGCATCTTTAGATGTAGCTTTTGGAAAACCCTGTCATATCTCTTTCCAGAAACTGGATTTTCTTGTGTGTGCTGGGAAGGTAAACAGCAAAAAGACCCAGGAAAGTCCCAACCATACAAAACTCCTCATCATTTCATTCAGCTTCCTGGACAGAAAGAGTGTGGGAAGTAACTTCAAAAGAGATGCTTATTTTTCCTTTTTCTTTTGAAAAATTTTATTGTTATTCTAAGGTATATACAGAGGGATTACAATATCATAACTTAGGCAATGTATACATTTCTCTTTGGGACAATGTTACCCCTTCATTTCCCATCGATTTCTTCCCTTCTAAGATATATTTTTAACTCATTTTACTGAGTTTGTTTGCCTGATATCTCTATCTATACTCACTAAAAGCAGATCATTTTGGGGTATGCTCATGAGGGATCCTAAATCCTTTTGACTTTTCATTTTTCTTCTTCTAAATCTGTATGTGTTACCAGGCCTTAAAGTTGTGAAAAGAAAAATAAACTGAAAATGATTCAGGAAAAAAAGCCCTAAGGGAGAAAAAGTTCCTTTATAAAGTTTGATAAGGAAGAATTGAGGTCTTTTAGGATATGAGTTCTTTGAAGGATAACACCCAAGCCATCAAAGTTTGTAAAAGTTTGCTCATGGTAGAAAGGAAGAGAGCCATGTTTTTATTTGACTTCATCATTCGATCCATTGTAAAAACATGAAGTAAAAAGCTGTCTTCTCTAGGGAGATTGTAACTTCCTGCAAAGAAAGCAACTTGTACTCTATTTAGGATTTAGAGGTAGACATGTCCCTGATTATGCCTTTGTTTTTGCCTCTCTGTGTGTCCTCTTTGTCTCTCTCTCTGCCTCTCTGATTCTCTCTCGGTCTATCTGATTCTCTCTGATTCTGTACTGGTTGTACTTACTCAAAATTTAGGAGTTTGATTTCAATGGAAAACTAAGCTTTTACTTTAATAGCAGTGAAGCCAGTTTGAATTACTAATACGGACTGATGTCAGGAGAAATACGTCTCCTTCTGCTTGGCTTAGAGAAGTTTGTGGTGACATGATTTATCACCGTGTGGGATGTAAACAAGCCTAGCCATTGGCCTGAGTTCTTTCTTCACTGTGCTTCTTCTGGGTACATGAAAGACACAGTACCACCATGTCTACACTTATGTGCACCATACCAGAGAGATGGCTTATTTGGTCCAGTACTTTACTAGGTCTTATCTAAAACTGATGAAATATTAAGTAGTTGCCACCATTGATCTGTAAGAGAAACTTCTTTCTTTAGCAAGATGAGTGTCTTCCATAGGAAATAAGTAGTACAATTCACTTCTTCCCAAGTGAAACTGATCACCTAGACATATGAGGTATTACGAGGTAGCTGGCATGGGATGGGTTACCATTAGTTTTAAGACTTACATTAACACACTGGGCATTTGCCACTCCTATCTCCAACACAAAAGAGACAGCGTGGTAGTTTCATCACTGATGTGAATTGTTCCCATTATTATTGTTTAGTAACTATAAAGATTGGAAATATTGGCCCATCATGGGAAAAGAAAAGTAGCTTTAACTCTCTGAATCTGTTGCTTCATAAGATGAATTTAGAAAAAGCTTATTTTTCTATCTAATCAGATGAATGATTCACTTCTGAACAAAAGGATCAAAATATAGTTCAAAGACACCAGAAAAGAGAACCTGAATAACAGCTATTATTCTCAAATCTGAAATTCTGAAAAAAATTATTCTGAAATTGCATGATCTCACCCCAGATTTTACAATGAAGCACTAAACTGTAAAAGCTGAGCATCTGAAAGATTCAATTCCCTTCCTGAATGTCTTAGGGATCAGTCCTTGTGTGGGAAATGTAATAGAACACTTTAGCAAGTTGCTCAGAAGTACTGATGAGCTGATTAAAACAATGCAACTGAACTGGGAATTGGTGATCCATGCTTGTCATCCTAAACTTCTCAGGAGGCTGAGATCTGAAAATTGAGCTTCAAAGTTACCAAAAACTGAAAGTAGAGTTGCGACCCACATAGTAGTGTGTCACCCTACAGTCAAAAAGCCAACGGACAGCACCATGTCCTGAGTTCAAGCCCCAGCAATAATCACACACACACACACACACACACACACACACAGAGCAACTGATCATTTGTTACTATAAAGTTTCTTTCACACGTGGTTACCTCTGCAAAAGCAATTTAACACCATCATACTTTAGTCTGGATTTTGAGTCTTAAAGAAAAGTGTTCTAAGGAAAAGAAAGAGGAGAAAGAAAAAAAGATTTGGTTGTCAATGTGTTCTATTTCTACTTCTTACACATAAAAGACTAGATTCCAAAGGGTAAAAAAAAGAGTTTATTTAAAGATTTTACTGGTCCTAAGAATCAAGCATTATCAACATGGCTTGGGAAGAACTGACCAGGGCACTGCTGCCAATAGTGAATGATGGAATGTTCCCTTTATCAATGTAATTTGTGAATGAGTAATTTATGTGTTTTAGTTGCTCTAAAAGCTGGGATTAAGAAATCTTGACACTTTTCCAATAACAGAATGGAGAAAAGTCAGAAAAAAGATAGTGTTTCCAAGTGGAAAATATCCCATGAATGGAATCATGATTCAAAAGTTGTGTGGTAAGCAGTAGCAGTCATGAATGGAGTAAAACTGATGGCTGCCTTACCTAATCAGCTCAGTGTTAATTAAACAAATGTGAGCATCGCTACTGAACACCGAAGTTTCAAATGTGACTAGAATATGTTTGCTCTCCCCTCCACAAAAATTTCTTTATGGGAGGAACTATGATAAGGATTTGTGGGCTATATTGAGTTAGGAAAATGGCTTGCCCGTCGGCCGTGTTAAATAGCTACCAAACTTTGCTATAAGATGGTTTACTTTGGGGTTGTCTACACCACTGGGTAATGTTGCATTTCCTCCAAGGCCTTGTACGTTTTGCTCTTTCCATTGGAATCCAGGACAGGAAGGCTGTTATTAAAAATGCTGCTGAGAAAAGCTTGGCGTCCTGGAACTTTGTCATGTTTTATAAAGGTGGTATCAATTGCCATTCAAATACAGTATTTCTAATAAAATAAATGTGTGATCACTTCCAAGCCGGTGGATCCAAATACACAGAAAGGTGAAAAACCATAGAACTAGTTGGGCCCAGCAGGACAAAGCAAGGCAAGTCTGTAGGCTATGAAGCCTGGTATCATGAAGGTGGTCTAATGTGAAGTTAAGCAGTGATGAGTCACCCCTGCCTTGCTCCTTGCGGGGCAAGATCAAATTGAAAATATTAACCTATCTGCTACAAGTATCATCCAGTCAGAAATGAGGCTTTCAGCCATGGGAATACTAGAAGGGAGAGGCAGAGAGGCAAATACTGTGGAGCAGCCTTACCCTAGAACAGGAATGCCTAGCTCACAGACACTTTTGTGTGTGAATGTTTGTTTAGGTTGAGTATTGCTAAAGGACTAAATGCTGGGCCAAAGTAATGTGCTTTAGCACTTTTGCATTGCTTTGTCGGATTGCTTTCCTATTGATCATCAGTATAGGATTTAGAATATATAAATGTATGAGGAGAGACTCGAAATGGCCAAGTAATAAGAATAGAGCTTTAAGATACTGCTCACAGTCATTCTTGGTGTCTAGCCAGTCCACAGCCCACAGTCTAGCCAGTCTCAAATGTATACATCACTATGAGAGAAATAAAAAGAGATGAAAAATGTAAAAAATGAATATCTGGGTGTCTTTGGCTCACACCTGTAATCCTAGCTACTCAGGAAGCTGAGATCTGAGGATCACGATTTGAAGTCAGACTGGGCAGGAAAGTCTGTGAGACTCTTGTCTCCAATAAACCACAGAAAACTGGAAGTGGCGCCATGGCTCAAAGTGATAGAGCGCTGGCCTTGAGCAAGAAACTCTGTAACCAGGTCCTATAATCAACCAAAAAAAAGTCTCTGTCCATGGCCTGTGAATAGACTTTGCTCCTCAATCTGGCACTAGCCATTCTTTTTCAGTTAGGTTTTTACCTTTTGGACTTAATTTTCCTTGACATTTCTCCAGGTGCCCACACCAACTATACTATTAAGTAGTCTTTGTTGCATGGTTTTCCCTGGTCTCCTGCCTGCTTACAGATTTAATCCTGCTGATCCTCTAAGGCCCAGATCCATAAATCCTTCTCCAGAAACTGTTGAGTCTCTCTCTAGGCTCAGCACTCGGTTTGTACAGCATATATTTTCTATGCCTTTTTAATGCTTACTTTTCCCCAGGCAGTGAGATCTGTGTTTCTTAACTGTGGCCTGGGACCCTCTGTGAGATGTGATTTTGCTCATTTCTCCTCCTTTACCTCCCACCACCTTGCCCTTTGTCCATTCTACTTCTACCCATGAGCTCTCAAGATGTTTCCCAGAGGTGCCTGTCCTGGTGTCATTGTGGGGAGCACTCTTCCTCAGACCTTAGCATGGCTGACTCTTTTCTTCACTGAAAGGTCACATGACTTTCTTAGAAAGGCTTTCTTGGATTATGGCTGATGAATAAGTTGCCACCCAATCACATGAACCCGTTGCGTTTTTCGTAGTCCTGATTACTGCTTTTTCTTATTTGTTGCTTAACTAGCCTGATTATCACTTAAGCCCCATGGGAACTAGAATAACTTTTATCCTCTTCAGAGATGTGTCCTTCCTTATTGTCCAAAACTGTGCCTAGTATATAGATATAGGAGAATACCTTCAATGATTGTTGGATGAAAGGTAAGTGAGCATTCATCAATGAAATGACTTATGCTAATCTTTAGATTTCTACACTGTGGAAACACCATAGTTTGAACATGATTGAACTTCAGTTAACTTTAAGAAAGTAAAGATAGGAAAAGCTAATAATCCCAGAATCATTCATAAATTGTGTCGCTGTTTTATATAATGTAAATTCATATGTAATTATTTGTTATTCATAATTGTTTTCACGAACAAGATGCTAAATGCTAATGTAACATCAATTGTGCTAAACACTTGACACTTAACATCAAGGTACTTGACACTAGATTATCTAATTTAATTTACTAAGCACTCTTGCGTATTATTATTTCAAGTTTATTATTTATTACAGGTTGAGAAGCTAGGCAACCTATCCATGATGCTACAGCACAGACAGGAATGAGGATGGGGTTTAATTGTTCAACCCATGCTATTTTAGTATACATGTGCAATTATATGCAATATTACACCATTGGAAACTGAAAAAGTATGTTGTAGACTGTCTTACTTTGTTTTTTTAATTTTAATTTTATTGTCAAGGTGATGTACAGCGAGGTTACAGTTATATAAGTAAGGTAGTAATTACATTTCTTGACTAACTTGTTACCCCTCCCTCATTTTCTTCCCTTTCCCTTGCCTCCCAATCCCCCCCCCCCCCCGCCTCCAAGTTGTATAGATCATACAACTCAGAGTAGAATTTTAGGGACTCAGCATTAAAGAAGTATTTGTTTCCTTTTTTAAATGGTAGTATGAGGTAATATTCTGAAGGGATAATTGACCGTGTGGTGAAGTGTTTACTTTTGTTGTGTGTCATGTGCTTAGCATCTAACGTGTTCATTTTGGCTCCTTAGGAAAGGACAGTCACCCTGGCAGGAAGCTCAGGCTCCTGCAATCACATGCTCCTTGCCTTGTAGACAGATTGCTCAGGAGGCTGGCTTTGGGTTATACTTAGCAAAGTTCACTGTCCACTTAGCAGACGTGCTTTGTTTTGTTTTGCTTTACAACTTTATAAACTGTTTTGAATTGTCATTGAAGAGTCAAGATATCACTCTCCTGACTTCTCTTGAGAAATTAGAATAGGAAGCAACATTGACTCATATTCTGTGCGGTAGTAGCTGACATGAATTGAGACACAGCCATCTTATTTAGATGGCGCTTACATAAAGTAATATTTGCCACTAGGGAGCTACTTAGTGGCAAACATTTCACATCCAGCTCCTCAAGGGTTGAGTCTAAGCCTCCCCCCACCCCCGCCCCAAGTCAGGACACTGGGATATATTTTTTTTAACAGAAACTTATGTCACTCTGAAGTGTAACTAAATGAGTTGTGCAGCCAGACACAGGGATGCATTCCTGTAATTCCAACACTAGGGAGTCACTAGACAGGAGGATTATGAGTTAGAGGCCAGCTGATTTAGCCTAAATATAGAGTTCAAGGACAATCTAAGTTACATAGTAACTGTTTGTCTCAAAAGCTCAGGGCTGAGGATGTAGGTCATAGGAGAATGTATGTGCAGTGTGCATAAAGCTCTGAGTTTGCTCCTTAGCATAACACGTTTGTTGTTGTTGTTGTTGTTCATCTTCCACTATTCGCAGAAGGGTGTTAATCCTGATTCATGTGTTTGAATCACCTGTTAACATTTTATGATTCTGGGACCCACCATTAGAGATTTGACCACTAAAGAAAATGAATGAAAAAGAGTGCAATTATCACCAGAGATGGCCAGATAAAGGAGAGGAAGAGGGAAGAAGGTAAAGGTAAAAGAAGACAGAAAGTTCTTGTCTTCATCATCAAACAGCCGCCAATGCCACACCAGCTTCTCGGGCCTCTCTGACTTGTCTTTGATGAGTGTCACAATGAAGATCAGGGAATGACTCGGAGGAAACCTGGCTGTTTCTCTCTAGGTACAGCTTTCTTTTTGTACCATGAACAAATATTCTATTTTCAGGCTTCGAAGAAGGCTTGCAGATAGATTCACTATTGTTTTCCTAAAATTGCCTGCTTTCTCAGTAATTCAAGTGAGGCTACAGATTTAGAATCGTGTTTTACTACTGTCTGCTGTCAAGATTCTTTGAAATTATATGTCTGTACTTATTAGTTTTGATGATTAGTACATATTATGGATAACTTGTAACCTCAGAAGTTTTGTTTCCCTTTTGAGTTACATATGAAGTCGGTACAATATTAAATCAATTAGTACATGCTGCTAGCTAAATAGCTCATGATTAAATCCTATATTCTTTTTAACCCATACTGGGGTTTGATCTCAGGACTTCGTGCTTGCTAGGTAGGCACTCTTCTACCTGTACTATGCTCCCAACCCTTTTGTGCTGGTTGTTTTGTGCTGGTATGATAGGCACATATGCCACACTTAGTTTTTTTCTGTTGGGATGTGGGTCAATGGAACATTTTGCTCAGGCTGGCCGCCGATCACAGTCCTCCCCATCTCTACCTCCTGAGTAGCTAGGATTACAGGTGTGAGGCACTGCACTAGTAGGAGTCAGTAAGACATATGCCTGTGTGATACAAGGACTGACCGATAGAGGTAAACTGACATAAATGAGCAAATAGAAACCACTTGATCTTCTCAATAGACACAAAAAATCTATGACAAGATTAAATACACTTTCACTGTAAAAAAAAAAAAGCCTCAACAAATCAAGTATTAAAGGATCATACGGAGACATAATAAGGGTCACATGTGACAATTCTAGCACTAACACCAGCAGGCAAAAAGAGGGAAGCTTTTTCATTACGATCCGGAAGACTCAGATGCCTCCTCCTGTAACTCCTATTCAACATGGGGCCAGAAATCCTAGCCAGAGCAATTAAGGAGGAAAAAGAAATGAAAAAAATGCAGTCCAAATCAGAAAAGAGGAAGCAAAATGATCTCATTTGCAGAAGACATCATTTGGAAACCACTAAATACACTATCCCCACCAATAAAAGTAGAAAATTTCAGGGCATAAAATAATATAAAAAATTAGTTGTGTTTCTCTGGCCCTCACTTCCAAGATGAGGAATAAAAGAAGGAACAAGGAAGTGAAGTAAGCCAGGCCCAAAGAAACACAGGTCCCATGGTTTCCCTTATTTGCAATATCTAGTATATGTCTGAGTCAAGCAGAAAAGGTCAGATAAGTTGATGTTAGGGAAATGAACCCTGAGATATGTATTCAAATGTTTTTTTTCTTTCATGCGATTGTTTCTAACACATTTATAAGAGTATTTCTTTGTTGCTTTGTATGTCCCTCCCCCACAGTATAACCCTGCTTTCACTGTATTTGATGTCGATATAATTTGTGGAGGGGAAGGGGAAAAACAAGTCGTTTAAATAAGGATACAGGTGGACCCATTGCAACAATGAGATGTACAATTTGTCATGTCGAAAACGAACTTTACAACTTTGGTGGTGGGGGGAGGATCGGGTGGGAGGGGGCGAAGGGAGGAGGGGAAGGGATGGGAAGGGGAAACAAAGGAGGAGGCTACAATGCTTGAAAAGAAATGTACTCATTATCTTGCCCATGTAATTGTCACCCCTCTGTACAGTATTTTCACAATAAAAAATAAATAAAAATTTTAGAAAAAGAAGGAACAAGGGCCAGAGTCATGTGCAGCCTATTCGCTGCACAAACTGCACCCCATTCGTGCCCAAACACAAGGCCATTAAGAAGTTTGTTATTCAGAACATAGTAGAGGCCGCAGCCATCAGAGACATTTCCGAAGTGAGTGTCTTCGATGCTTATGTGCTTCCCAAGCACTGCAACGCTCCATTACTGCGTGAGTTGTGCCATTCACAGCAAGGTGGTCAGGAATCAATCTCGTGAAGCCTGGAAAGGCCAAACACCCCCACCCTGATTTAGACCTGTTGGTGCTGCTCCACGACCTCCACCAAACCCAGTGTAAGGAGCTGGATACTTCCAGACTTCAGAAAAGCTGTTTTCTAGGGAAAACAAAAACAAATAAAGTGGAAATTATACTTAAAAAAATTAGTTGTGTTTCTATATAGTTATACCACTCTACTAGGAAAAGAAATGAATGAAACAGCCCCATTTGTATTAACATCAGAAAGAATAAGATGCTTGGGAGTAATTTTAATCGAGGAGATGAACTGAGGAAAGAAACTGAAGGGAAGAGTGAAAAGCTACCCCACATTCAGGAAGGAATTAATATCATTTAAATATCCTTATTAACCCCAAATCATCTACACATTTAATTCAATCTCTATCAAAAGTCCAGTGATGTTCTCCATAGAAATAGAAAAAAATCTTAAAATTCATATAGAATTTTAAAATAATTCTAAATAACTAAAGCAGTTTTGAAAGTGGACAAAAGTGGAGCACCATATTATCTGATCTCAAAGTACAATTTACTGGGTTACAGTGATCAAAACAGCAATCCCAGGATGGTGCTGACATTAAAAAAACAGGCACATGGGCCAATAGAGCAAACAGAATTAAGAGTCCAGAAATAAACCACACACAAACTGTCAACTAATCTTCAATGTAAGTGCCAATAACTATTAGTCATGTTGCCTGTTTCTATTTTTTCTATCTACTCAAGTCTTCCTTCCTTCATTTCAACATATATTTTCACTGAATACCTAACGTGTATACCTAACCAGCCTTGTGGATTTCGTTGCAGACATGGGAGATACAGTCTCTGATTTCACGAAGTTCAAAATCAGCTCAATGTTTATGCAGTCAATGTCAAAACAAGGAAAAGATATTTGTTACCATTTCGATGAGAAATTTTTGACCCAATGATGTTATTAATGATAATGAATAGTATTCCCCAAACTTTTAGCACCTCAAACTTCAGCCTCTTTAATTTTATCAGGGTTGTGTCTACCTTTTGTGTGTGCATTTTACTTCTCAACTATATGACTGATTAAGAGCAGATATGAAACAACCATCCAATTTTATTGGTTATTAATATTAATATTACTATTGCTAGTATTATCATGACTATTTATTACTGATAGTTTGTGAAAAATATTGGCTAGAAAAGATATAAGTGGAGAGGATTGGGTTCTGTAACTTTCTCCCTGTTGGTGAAGTTCTACCAGAAGATGTTGCTAATTACAGATGATCAAGTGAACTGCTGTGAACTATCAACAGTGAAAGATGGAAGGAGTAATGAGAACATGGGTTTATAGCTCCTTGGTTAACCAAATTCTTTAGTGAGCTCTCCAAGGATAATCTCCTTTTCGGTAGTGATTGAATTATTTCCCAGACTTTAAACACCACTGAATCTTTAAACTATTATTAACAAGTTAAGGGATTTTGAGGTTGCCTAAGAAAAATTACATGCTGCTAATTGAACTGTTCTCTGTTAACACTTTAAGGAGAATAAATAGACTCGTGTTCCTGGGATTTGAGCTTGGAAGGTTTTGGACTTGTGGAAATGTTAGATCTGAGAGCCATTTCCTTTGTATTACAAGTTCCAATTGGAAGCTGAGCTCCGAACAAGTCTTGGCATTTCTTTCCTCATTACAATTCACACGTTCAGTGCAATACCAGTTAATCCATTGTCATATGAATTTTTTTTGCTCTTAACTTTGTTTTGCTACATGTTATGACCATGTGTGCTTAACATTAAATTGGGATTAAAGTGTTATTTCAGAAAGCTTTTCCCTCTTCTTAAGTGAAACCATGATTTTGTGACAAAATTACTAAGATGAACCTGTGATTTTCATTAAAAATTTTAGTGACAGACATTTTTTCCTAATTATAAATAGAGTGTGGACCCAAGAATTTGTGTACCAGTTGCAGAATGTCAGCTACACCCTTGTGTTTAGCTCTTTACTCAAGCCAATGGATTCTTTGAGATCTTAAAAAAAAACACATTTTAAGTGTAGTCAGTCAAGCAAATGTACCTAAGCCAGAGCACCATTGTGTATATGAAATGCTTTTAATTCAAAATGCATTGTAGTCAAATACACACAATGGAAAATTGACCATTTTGGTCATTTCCAAGGCTATCATCGGTGTAATTAAGTCCATTTGTATTGTGAATATCACTGCCACCCATCTTTAGAGTTTTTATCTCCAAGGGAACCTGTACCCACAAATCATTGTCTCCCCATCCTCCCTTCCTGTGGCTTCTAGAAAACACTGCTATATTTTCTTCTCTGTAAACACTACCAGTCCAGGTGTGTACATACAATGATACCTTATTTGGGGATTTCATTTCACTTAATACATTCTAAGTTCATCCATGTTCTCGTGAATGTTAGAATTCTATTCTTCTGTAATAATGCTTCAATACTTATGTCAGAATTCTATTCTTCTATAATAATACTACAATACTTATCATTAATAATGTCTATAGTGTTTTATTATTATGAATTACAGATTATTATGAACTGTAAATTATGGATTGCATGTTAAACCTTTATTCTTATGTAATTCCCTTGCTTCTACCTTTTAGCTGTTGTTGGTAAGGTTGCCCTGCATGTGAGTGTACTATTTGTTTGGCTTTTTTTTTTGGTAGATCCTGGGTCTTGAACTTAAGGTCTGGGTGCTGCTTTTTTAGCTTTTGTTTGTTCAAGCTAGCACTCTACTGCTTGAGCCACAGTTCCACTTCCAGCTTTTTGGTAGTTTATTGGAGATAAGTCTCACAGACTTCATGCCCCCCTGTGTGTGTGGGGGATCCTCAGATCTCAGCCTCCTGAGTGGCTCAGAGTACAGGTATGAGCCACTGGTATCCAGCTTCAGTTCTTTTTATTTATTTATATGAGCATATATTAATTGTACAGAGGGGTTCTATTGGGATATCCCCATACATATGCATAGTATGCTCTGATCAAATTCACTCCTTCTATTACTTTTCCTTATTCCTCCCTTGTTACTGTACAATGTTCATGCATTTCATTATTCTTTTGAGCAGATTCCCAGAGATGGAAGCATTGTATCCTATGGTAATTTTACTTTAATATTGAGAAACCCCAACAATGTTTTCTGAAGTGGATGCATCATTTTTCACATTCCAACAAGCAGTTCCCAAGGGTTTCAATTTTTTTATCTCTTTGCCAACAATTATCTTGTGGTTTTGTGAGATGCCTCCTAATGAATGTATGCTAAATTTTACTTTCCATGTGGATACAAAATACAAAACCAACTATTTTTTAATTGGATAATGTAAAAACTAGTTTCCAAATTTTGTATGTCCATTTAAATAACACGTTTAAGTATAAAATAATAGTAACTCCGTTGAATAAAAATAACAAAATGGAGCAAATAAAAAGTAAAGACAAGCAGCCAAGGACCTCCAAGGTGGACTAAAACAATCCTTCCCAAATGATACTTGAAATAGAGCACTCGGTGGTTGGAGTGGTTGGGATTTTTTTAATTGTTATTATAAAGGTGATGTACAGAAGGATTACATTTTCATAAATCAGGCAATGAATACATTTCTTTGTAGACAATGTCTCCCCTTCCTTCACTCCCAGTTTTAGTGTTTGGGATTTAACAAAACACTTAAAGCATTCTACAATGATGGTATTTTATAATTTACATGATTAAAAAAGGTGGCAAAATGCTTTGCAACACATTTCTGAACATCTAAAGATATGCAGCAATGACTCTTTTGGTGTGCTACAGTAAAAACTCCACAGCATTGCCTTTACCAATGCAACGGTATGTGACAGCACATTCCTATGTTTATACTGTTTTTCCCTCAGGCTTTCCACTGTTTTCAAGGTTCATTACCCTGACCTGAACTCCCTGGTTTGGGCCTGCTAGAAAGTAGATTACTTCATTAGTAATCCAGAAGTGCCAGGTGAAAATCTATCTACCATCTTACCTCTCTGGAACAAATATACCCAGGTTACTGGTTATAACACATGTGGTATCGTTTTCCCTTATTTGGAACATACAGAACTAAATTAATAACAGTTCTTACAAGACCCTGGGGGTTTATGGAAAAGAATTTTGATCTCCTTAGGAAGGACTTGCCAGTGCTCTCGGGAGAGATGCACTTGACTTTTGACCTCTTTTCAAAGGCACCTGTGTGAGCTTTTAAAATCACTACCACCAATTATCCACTTTCAACCTGAAGTGTTTAAACCTAGGACCACATTAACTGAGCTTAGCACATAGCCATGTCATTGTAGACTTCCTGATGTGAGGAGATGTCTTGACATAGTTAAAAGGGAGTTTAGGGATGGGGCATGAGATTAATCAGGTCCTCTTACTGACAGGTTCAAACAAAGAAGCCTTTTAGCCACCTGGTTTATGTCTCTCACACCTGCATTCAGATTGTGGGGGACAGAGTTTTGTAGTTCCCTTGATCCATTCTTTCCAGGTACTTTGTTTGTAGCTACTCTGCATCACTTAATGACTCTTCCGCAGAGGCAGTGGATGAAGATACAAATAAACAGTTTCCTCTTTCAGGTCCAGCAGTGTTGTTAGAATAGGAATCATTTATGAAATCTTGCCTGGATTTCTTCAGGGCTTTTGGAAGGAGGCCCCAGCTCATGGTATTCTTGAGGTAGAGAGGCACAATCTGTTTTCTTCTGCTATTATTTGCTTGCAAATTTAAACCACGGTGAATATACGTTTCTCTCTGCTTGCTTCGGTTTCTTTGGCAGTAAATATGGCTTTGATTTTAGTCTCTGGGCTTATTACATTTAATATTTTTATTTTTTACTTATGGCACAGAAGGAACAAGCATTGTAGTACTAAGTCATTCCAGCATTCAGGAGGCCAGAGCAATTCTGTGAAGTGAGGTCCCAGTTGTGTAGCAAGCCCCTTAGCCTCTGCACATTGCAGCGTTTCAACTACAGCCAGTGACTGCATTGTTCACTGGAACCAAGCATTGTAGAAATATTAGAGGCCTAGTTGAGTTCATATTCTATGCCTGGTTTAAATCACTGATGTTGTAAGATCTGGCCATGGACTAAAAAAAATTCCAAATGTTTTCTGGTTCTAGTTTTTGATATTTTTTTC